ACACAAAATTTTGAAACTATCGAATATTGCTAAATCTTAAATGTTAATTGTGATGCACAGATTTTTAACTTCACAGCTCCCTGCATCATTCGATTTAATTTACAATCTCTACGAATCCAATGACATGGATATGAGGCGGGCAAAACATTTAGACCAACCTTTCCCTTATCGTAATTATAGACTATTTACAGCATCTTGCCTTGGCCCTAAGCTGTGGAACGACAATATGGTTTCATATTTTCCAAGAATAGCTGATATCCCTGTATCAAAAACCATCGTTAAGAACATTATCCGCAAGCATTTCGTGAACACATATTAACGTAACCAATATATTTGAAGACATTGCCATCCTTGTGCTGTACATATCCAACACACTTCATATTTGACCGCCTTCATGTTTCATAATCAATTTCTGATATAAAGTCATGCACATATACCCAAACTCACGGCGCTGGCTCCGGGAGTTCTCCCAGCAACAAGCTCTGCTTAGCTGGGTGGACTCCCTGGACATCCAGCCCAAAGCCCAGCACAAAAATGACCAGGTAATTGCCCCCCCCCCCCCCCCCGGCTTGTGTGACTGTATAGCCCTTACTAACACGGTAAATTGAGTGGTTGTAGATCATTGGGCGGTTATAACGGGCTGTCATTAGCTGACTTTGGCTAATGACTGCTTTAAGCCTTTTCACCTATGATTTTTCCCTACCTATCACATAACACAATTCTTTCGGGTCTGCTCCACCTCTACCTTTTTTTTTACGTTTATTTCATCTTCCTAGCTGGGAGTGCCGCGACTTGATTTTATGTTTTCTGGTGTTAACGTACGGTTTACTGCGTCGCTGGGACTGAGGGAGGGGCACTCCTGGTTACCTGTTCTTGGGTAACGGCGTAAAAAGTACCCATGCGATACATCAGGACAGAAGCGCCGATACCGCCAACGATGATGTATCTGCCCACGTACATCAATGGACTTCAACTGTGGATTGTTCTTTTTCGTTTAGAGATGGTGTGCCTTTCCGGACAAAGGTGATTTTCAGTGGCCAACCAGCATCCCTTAAATCACGTACCTGTCTTTTTAACGAAACCTACGACGGGCCCCAGCCTATGCTGGCTCCCGACAACTGCCGCGCGCCTTAAGTAACTCCAAAACGTACTTTAGAATATCCCAGTACAAAAACCGATGTCATGACTTGTTGATGTGCTATAGTTTATAGCTAACAAATTATATAAATGGAAAAGTGCTTTGATCATTGCTTACGCCTACCACAATATTGTAGTGTTGCAACAGCTCCTTTGAGTCTGCGACATGTATAACCATCTGCACAAATTACTCCACAACGGTTCTCCAACCGGCCACGGTATCTCACTCCCTATCCCGGTTCAGAAACAACGCGATTCACCCGTCAGAAACCGAGTGCGTGTGACCCCGAAATCGGCACTGAGAAACCGAGTCAGAACCGGATCGGGCGCCAGCGAGCACGGGGGCCACTCGGCCGTGACCCGTCGACCCGGCAGCTGCGCAAGCGCGCTCCACCGCCGGCACGCCGACAGATCAGACGGCACCGGGCTGCCGGCGTCGCGGTCCGTCGGGGAGTTGGGCTGCCGCGCACCGGCCGCGTCAGGCCAGCCGGGCCACACCGGCCGTATCAGGCCAGCCGGGTCACACCGGCCGCGTCAGGCCAGCCGGGCCACACCGACCGTATCAGGCCAGCCGGGTCACACCGGCCGTGTCAGGCCAGCCGGGTCACACCGGCCGTGTCGGGTCACACCGGCCGTGTCAGGCCAGCCGGGCCGCACCGGCCGCCCGCACTGGCCGCGTCAGGCCGACCGGGCCACACCGGCCGCGTCAGGCCAGCCGGGTCACACCGGCCGCGTCAGGCCAGCCGGGCCACACCGACCGTATCAGGCCAGCCGGGTCACACCGGCCGTGTCAGGCCAGCCGGGTCACACCGGCCGTGTCAGGCCAGCCGGGCCGCACCGGCCGCCCGCACCGGCTGCGTCAGGCCGACCGGGCCACACCGGTCGCCCGCGCTGGCCGCGTCAGGTCGGCCGCCCGCACCGGCCGCGTCAGGTCGGCCGCCCGCACCGGCCGCGTCAGGTCGGCCGCCCGCACCGGCCGCGTCAGGTCGGCCGCCCGCACCGGCCGCGTCAGGTCGGCCGCCCGCACCGGCCGCGGCCGATCACCACACGCATCCGACCCAGGCGGCGAGCTCGGCATACCGTGTTTTACCGGAACAAGCGAGGAAAGCGCCCGCGTGTCAGACCAGTGCAGCGGGTTCAATACGCAATGTGGGCGGGGCAGGCGTGTTACGTAAACGCAACGCTTGAGGTCTAGCTGACACATTTATTTCTGAAGCCTGCCTCCTATAATCAGCTCACTGCATTCGAACATCACACACCAGGATTGGCCCCCACATGTTCGAAAACGAGTAAGCAACTGAAGGACGTGATTGTCACAAATGACGATGATTGGGGCTTAACGGCATTCAATGTCCTAACAGGACATACAATAAGCTGCTATTGAATAATGACCCATCACACAATTCTCGGATGTCAGTTGCCAAAATATTTCTGGTAACCACAATTGGTAAAATTTGATGTCAATCATTATCGGGCGTGTTCAGCACGACTCTTCAGACGCGCCTTTTATGGAGTCGAATGAGACCTTATGCACATGTACTCCAAGGGCAACAGGTCCGCCCCATCCAATTTCGCAGCGGCCACGGCTCAGCCACAGGCGTTGCACCGCAGCCTGACCACCCTAATCGCGTTCAGCTGCCTGTCCGACCGACGGCGGTCGGCGAGCCGTCTCAACGGCGGGCGTCCAGCGCGGCACGGCGCCGGCGGCCGACTAGGCGCAGACCAGGCCGGCCAGCAGGGCGGCCGGCAGTAGCAACAGCAGCATGGTCGGCGCCGCCAGGCCGGCCGAGTTGCAGTAGTCGCCCGTACAGACGCACATCGTCAGCCGGTCCGTGACGGTGCAGCCCTCCTGCCTGGACCGGTCGAAACAGCCGCGGATCTCCTTCCCATCCAGGGAAGCCTTGGCGCAGGTGCTGTCGTAGCTGCCCGTGCAGCGCTCGACCTTGAAGCGGTCGTCGTCCTTGTCGAATTCGGCGCAGGACGGGACGACGGCGCCGGCCCCGAACGACTGCTGCAGCGGCAGACCGGCGGCCGACCGGAGGCCCGCCAGGTCCGAGCATTGGAAGCAGCTGAGGGCTCGGCAGCCGGGCGCCGCCAGCAGGGCGGCCAGCAGCGGCAGCAGCGGGCGGAACATGGCGGCGGCGGCGGCGGCGGCGGCGGTGGCAGCGGCAGCGGCAGCGGCAGCAGCGGTGGCGGAGCACGGACTGACGGGCCGCCGTCGTCCGGTCCGCTCCTCACCTCGCCGCCAGCTATCGCCGCCGCCGACGATCGTGGCGATCGCGGCGCAGCGCGCGGCGGAAGTGCGCCACAAAGACGACGTGAGCGGCGATAGGGACCGGCGTCGCGCGACGGTCCGGGCTCAACCGCGTGGGCATTCGACCAGCCGCGCCTCCGGGCGCGCCACCTTGATAGTGCCGGCCGCCGCGGAAGCCGGTCGCTCGGCACCGGTGTGTGACGGTACCGCTCCTGGCAGAGCCTCGAGCGCCAGCTCAGCGGGCCAGACGGCGCGACACGGCCGCTCCCCAGCGGAGAGCCGGCGGGGCGGCGGCGACATCAAGCGACGGCGATGACGCATGCCTTGTATCGGACATCAAAGACGGCGCGCCGTCATCAACAGATGATGAAAGTCGCTGGAAGTTGCTAGTCACGCATGTCCTGCGTGTCCGGAATGGAATCCAGACCGCAGAAGATGATAAAAGTCGAGGAAGTTAGTCCCCATGCATTTTCTGCGTGTCGGGAATTGAACCCAGACTACTCAAAACGCGCGATCCAAATTCCCCAACCCCTTTTAACTTCGGTCCCTAGAACATCGCCCTTGCACTTACGCCCCTTATAAGATGTTGTCTACCGTCATTAGGCAAGTTTATGATTGCATTTGAATTGACACATCTACTCGGTGCACGTGCGACTATCGCTGTGCCCGTGATCATGTATGGTGAATTAGGTCCTGAATGGCGAGAAAATAACAAAATATAGGAGCGTGGTTCCGGGCTTAAATGCACGAACGTTCATATAAGGTAGAGGGTGCATTTCGGAAAAGTTTACGATCATACAGCCTGGAGAGCGTGCTGAAAGAAATGATGCCGCCGCACTCGACAAAGGGCATTTTCTAAGCAAAAAGCAAAATCAAGCGCGTTTGGTGCGCATTTCCATTTCTTTTGGTACGTTGTTGACATTAGTTGGCCTCAGTTTTGAACCATGAAAGTCTGAAAATTGACGGCGATTTCATCCATGTCATGCCTTTATCGTTCAGACGCGCACGTATGTCACGTGGTGGCGGGTACCTTATCTCCATATTCGATTACCCGTTACGAATCTAGCCATCTCAAAGCCAGCCGTGTTTTCCCGCAATATAACTTCAATGTCGTTCCTGCTACGCAGACTGTTCCGAGGAGCTACACCTCAGTGGTGTGACCGCAGTTTGAAGTAATCTAAAAACATCTTGTACACACTTACGGACGCCACCGCGGCGGTCCATAAGACGCGGTTTATTTTATCCTTCAGCGGGCTGGGCTTTGAAAGCCATGGCTTCAAAAGCAAGGCGAAATTTCATTATCACGACAGATTAAAAACAGCACTCAGTTCGACCTGATCGGCAATGTTGAAGCCGACATGAAGCCGACTGCTTTCTGTTCGTCACACCGTCTCCCCGTACGAAAGACTCCCTCTACACAGCCTGTGGGTCCGCTTTTGAGCTCCGATGGTCCAACGGGAGACCCATCGCTTGCAGTGCACCCGTCCCTGTCCCAATGCGGCTGCTTTGTGTGCAAACTCTGCCGGAAATCACAGCAATTACGCCACTTGTACTGAGACTGCCCTAGACTTGGCGCTTTGTGCGCAGTGTCGGCTCCCTTCAGACTGACCTGGGTGTAGGCGGGAGCGAGCGGCACGCCGGCAGTGACGGCCGGTCCGCCGCCGTGCATCTTGAGCGCGCGCACCGTGGCGACCAGCACGGCGGCGTCCGGCGCCAGGCCCGACGCCCTGCACTTGATGTTGAAGAACTTCTCCATGCCTGGAACGAACGCACGGTCGGCTCACGCAGCCGCGCCGGACGGCTGCGTGAGCCCGGCCCCCGGAGCCTGGATTTGTAGGGGGGCTTCCAGTCCTCACCTGGGGCCCGACAAGCAAGGCGACTGGCGGTTTCTTCCAAGGGTTTTACAACAAGTCTCGCGATTTCTTCGATAACAGCATAACAATTATGCGTGCGCGGAGAAAGGAAGCATACATGCATTTTACCACACGCTTCCATTTTTTTCAGGCGCAATTGAGTACCACTTATACCGTTCCTGCCCGCCTCTGCCTCCATCTCCAATCGTCGCCTGCACACACGTAATCGCACAAGCACGCACGCACGCACGCACGCACGCACACACGCACACACGCACGCACGCACACATACACGCTCACCATTTACTATTCTACTCCTCCATTCCCAGCACAACCCAACACCTTCCCGTCTTACGCATCACCAACTCAAGCCCCGGAGCCGACCTTTCGCCCCAGCCTACTGTTCTCCCATTTTCTCGGCGCTGTCGCTCGGTGTCCCACCCCACCGCCGTCGTCTCACCGTGCACGCTCCACTGCCGCCTCGCCACCGCCCCGTCGCCACCCTCACCAATGTCGGCGCCGAAGCCGGCCTCCGTCACCACGTAGCCCTTCTCGCCGACCAGCTTGAGCGCGATCTTGTCGGCCAGCACGCTGGAGTTGCCGTGCGCGATGTTGGCGAACGGGCCGGCGTGGACGAACACGGGCGTGCCCTGCAGGCTCTGCATCAGCGTCGGGCGAATGGCGTCCCGCATCAGCACCGTCATGGCGCCGCCGGCACCCTGCGGCACAGCGGCGACACTGTGACGGCACCCCACGGCACAGCGGCGACACTGTGACGGCACCCCACGGCACAGCGGCGACACTGTGACGGCGCCCTGCGGCACAGCGCCGACACTGTGACGGCACCCTGCGGCACAGCGGAGACACTGTGACGGCACCCTGCGGCACAGCGGAAACACTGTGACGGTACCCTGCGGCACAGCGGCGACACTGTGACGGCACCCTGCGGCACAGCGGCGACACTGTGACGGCACCCTACGGCACAGCGGAGACACTGTGACGGCACCCCACGGCACAGCGGCGACACTGTGACGGCACCCTACGGCACAGCGGAGACACTGTGACGGCACCCCACGGCACAGCGGCGACACTGTGACGGCACCCTACGGCACAGCGGCGACACTGTGACGGCACCCCACGACACAGCGGCGACACTGTGACGGCACCCTGCGGCACAGCGCCGACACTGTGACGGCACCCTACGGCACAGCGGCGACACTGTGACGGCACCCCACGGCACAGCGGCGACACTGTGACGGCACCCTGCGGCACAGCGGAGACACTGTGACGGCACCCTGCGGCACAGCGGCGACACTGTGACGGCACCCTACGGCACAGCGGCGACACTGTGACGGCACCCTGCGGCACAGCGGCGACACTGTGACGGCACCGTGCGGCACAGCGGAGACACTGTGACGGCACCCTACGGCACAGCGGCGACGCTGTGACGGCACCCTGCGGCACAGCGGCGACGCTGTGACGGCACCCTGCGGCACAGCGGAGACACTGTGACGGTACCCTGCGGCACAGCGGCGACACTGTGACGGCACCCTGCGGCAGTGGCGACACTGTGACGGCACCCTGCGGCACAGCAGAGACGCGGTGACTGCACCCTGCGGCACAGCGGCGGCACTGTGACGGCACCCTGCCGCATCGCCAACCGCGTCATGGCACCCAGGCGCAACATGATGTGTTCGTCGCCACCAACATGTGTCGTACTCGGAAAGGTGCTGCAACAACGCCTTGGCGTTAAACCACAGCGCTGTCCGCAAGCCGGGGGGAAGGGGGATGGGGGGGGGGGGGCACGTGGCGTCCGCGGGACGCGAGGCAGCGCGGTCCACAGAGCCCAGGCTGTTGCTGCACCAACTGCACACGGGACGAACGCTAGGCCTAGCTAGCTAGGCTAGGCTAGGTTAGGCTAGTGCCAACAGGACGTGCTCACCACCGAAGCGCTTTGGATTACCTGCAGGCCAGAAGTGGCAGCGACATTCGTTGAGTGCTGCGTCCACACAATGGGTCCATCGCGAGACCCCATACTGGGAGTCCAATGGTCCAATGGCGAGGACACGATTCCGATTGCTGGGACGTGTGCGGTGCTGACATCATGAACTCGACCCTGCGAGCACGGTTCTGATGCTGCAACCATCAGTCCAATGCCGAGAGTGCGAGCTCGATTCTGCGAGAACGAATAGATGCCGAAAGGACGAACTCGATGCCGAGGGTGCAGATCCTACGGTGAGAATCGCGTGATGGGGGGAGGGTCGCCAGTCCGACCGCAGGTCCACCGACCTGTCCACCGGTCAGTACACCCGGTGGGGGGCCGACGTCGGCGCTTCCGGCGGCGCCGGCCGGCCGTCCACCGGCCTGACGAGGCCTGGGGGGGCCGCCGCCTATCTCCGGCGCTTCCGGCGTCCGGCCGCACCGCGCGCCAGTGTGCTCGATGGGGGCTGCGCCGCCACTGCTGCCGGCGCTGGCGCTGGTGCCGGCGCTGGTGCTGGCGCTGGCGCCCGACTGCCAGCGCTGCACGTGCTCGCAGCAGGGCGACATCGACCACCTGCAGTGCCAGTTCTCCGGCGAGGAGGTCGGTGCCGTGGTGGGACGGCCGCCGGCCGACTGGCCGGCGGCCCACGCTCAGGGAGGGCAGAGGGGTCACCAGTCCCAGACACAGCTCGGCAGTGACTCGGCAGTCCCGGGCGTACCCCAGCGACATTGCTGACCGCACAGCGGTGGGGCCCCAGTTCAGGTGCCGTCTGTGTTGAGCGAGGTAGCGTATTTTGACCGGGAGTGTCCGCCGCGGTCCACTGCAGCGCGTGCCGGCCGGCGCCATGCCTGCCAAACGTCACGCCGTCGTGTGGCGGCCAGTGAGCCCCACAGCGCAATGACCGGCCAGACGCAGCCAGTGCGCATCCCGCGCGTGACTGCCGACGGCGCCGTCCGGGCGCACGTGCCGCAGGAGGTGGAGCTGAGCGGTCCTGGCGTGCTGCCCTTCACCAGCTCCACCCTCTACCTGCTGCTGGAGGGCGCCCGCGCTCTGGACGTGCGGCCCGGCTTCCTCCGCGCCTTGCGCCGCTACCGCTCGGTGGCCGTCGACCTCTGGGGCATCGGCAACATCACGTTCGCCGCCGAGTTCCTGCCCGCCAGCCGGCTGAGCTTCATGGGTGAGGGCTCGGCCGACGTCACTGCTTTCATGCATGTTTCCATGGGGAACCTGTTCACGGTCCCACACGTTTCGCGGTGATGTGAGGCGCAATCTCTAGCACGCGCGCGCGGCATTAGAGTAGTGTCAATTCCAATATGGAGCCAAGTTTTGTTACTGACGATGGCATAGACCAAAGCCTTCTTACTGCGATTCGGTCACATATCATTCGCTGTTTTCCTCTGTTCCGGAGTTTCAACGCCAAAAATAGTTGAGGTTGTTGCGACAGATCACGATGAAACGCAGCGCGCGGTGCAGCTATTGTACAGCAGATTTCTGGCAGGTACATAACTGCTGGGAAACTCGTAGAACAAGGCAGAATGATTGTGCGCTGAGCAAGCACACTCGATGGCGCATGCTCTGTCATGATCGTGAACCAGTGTACCGATAGCCGCCATGTTTGGACAGCGACAACTTCACCTTGCGATACCGTATCTACCACTTCTGAATGACAAATGCCGACGAGAAAGTCCGCGCCGCTTATCAGCGCGGGTGTCCTGATACCGACAAGGCGTGATTGCTGGCGGAGCGCGCTGTGCATTGCACTGGCGAGCAAGCGCAAATATGACACCACGCTGCCATATTCACGCCATGATGCCAGCATACCCCCACAGCATATCAGCAGAGCATACTCCCACGCTGGGCTGGCTCAGGAACCACCGCGCGCACCACGTGGACGGGTCAGCGCCGAGCGGGCTCGGCTCGAGCAACATACTTCACAGAAGCTGTATCCATAGAAAAACATCCATGGCGACCAGGCCACGCCTGCCACTCTAGCTGTCGCCCTGGAAGCATGCTGAGTTCGACTGACGCGCGTGTTCATCACAACGCCTCTCTAACCCTTGCATGTTCGCAGCGAGTGTTACACATCTGCTCAGTTCCAGGCAGCATGATATATCTATATATACATGCAGAGCAATGTGCAAAACACCGTGCAGAATAACACTAAGGAAGCATTGCCAGGATGCTTGCTTGAGTGCCTGACTAAGAAAAGGTCGGTAAGACCCATAGTCACAATTCTTCCCGGAATGTTGCAACACTGACTTGCTGCAACACATGAGAAGCATTCTGCGTTATGTAAACATGCCACACCATACAACACACTCCGGATTCAACTTTGCCTTTCTTCCGCGCCATGCCAATGACCGAGTGTCTGGCTACAGGCAATAGGCAACAGACATCTACCAGTCTGGGAACCGCCCGTCTGGGAAACCAGAGCTGCGGGTCCGATCGCCCGCGGTATCCGCCCTTCCCGCCAGGGTGAGAGGCAGGCGACACCACACTGCCCCAGCAGCTGCGTGTGTCGTGAAGCTCCAATGTTGATGACGCAGAAAGCCGCGGCGGACCGGCGTTGACAAATACTACTCTGTCCACGCAAACGCGAGGAACGCGTGCACTGAGTGCGCGGCCAGACGGCAGACACATCCCGAGAGCCTTCAATGTGCCGTGCGTAACTGAACGGTTTTGTCACAGCACACCAGTAGAGTCCAGAACGCTTGCAGAATTGCCAAAGGCGAGAACCGCATTCACTGAGGCATACTGCACTGGAAATCTGGTACCTTTGTGTTGTGGGTCTGACGTCACACGGCTGGTCCGTGTCCTGCTGGACTTCGCCTATCTTACCGCTTGCAGCCTTCGACCTTTGAAAGCATGTTATACCGTTTGCGTGAGGCTACCAGGCATACCACACGGATATTCAGCACTCAGCGTCACACAATGAACACAGCGTTACGGTGTCGCAGTGCCTCATTGCCGGGTGTTGTCATCTGTAAGGATATGTACAACACATGCATGGAATAATCTATATCAAGACCTGTAACGTTGCAATGGCGTGCGTGCCGTGCAATAACGGTTTGCAATTTTGCAACGAATCCTCCTTAGGGTGCTCTTCATCCTCCTGAAAATAATGGTAGCGATTTTACGGCTCCACTTTACTTAGTTCCGTTCGCAATCTGCTTTTGCAACATTCTGCAACCTTTTGCAAGACAACAGATCAACGCAGTTTGTCAGCATTCTTTATGCGCCCCGTTTTCCACTTGCCATCACCGTGTGAACTGGCCCCGCGCGCCCGGGTCCGCGTCGGCCGAGCGGGCCCGGCGCGACTGCCGCCAGCGCCGGCCGCCCACAGGCCTGGGGATCGTCAACAGCAGCGTGGCCGAGCTGCCGCACGGCGTGCTCTCGCACACCGCCGCTGTTGGCCTCCGACTGACCGGCTGCCGGCTCGGCACCGTCCGGCGCGGCGCCTTCGCAGACGTCGGCAAGGTGAGCGCACGGCCGGCCGCGGCCCTACCGGTGCGGCGGCACCGTGACGTCACGGGTGTCCTCACCACCTGGTATGTCCATCTCCGCGTACCGGTGAAACGATCGCCCTCCGCCTCGACACAGACGACAGACGGGGGCACCGTCGCAATGTTGAAACGATCCCTCTCCGCCCCGACAGACGACAGACGGGGGCACCGTCCTACTGGTGAAACGATCGCCCTCCGCCCCAACACAGACCACGGATGGGGGCACCGTTGCAATGGCGAAACGATCGCCCTCCGCCCCGACACAGACCGCGGACGGTGGCACCGTCGCGCACTTGCGCACGAACATCGAACTCGGTTGGCGCTCAGCCATGTGACGGCGTCCGATCAGAGTCCACCAACAGAAGCGGCCAGCGCCCACCCGGTCAGAGCGCCGCGCACCCGCAGCTCAGCCATGTGGCGGCGTCCGATCAGAGTCCACCAACGGGAGCGTGCCAGCGTCCGCCCGGTCAGAGCGCCGCGCACCCGCAGCCCGTCCCCCCTCCTCCCCCCCCCCCCCCCGGCAGGTAGCACCGGCCGTGCTGCCGCAGGTCCGCTACGTGGAGCTGACGCGCTGCGTGGTGGACACGTTCGAGGGGCCGCAGATCGGCCGCCTGCTGCTCAGTCACCGCGAGGACGTGCACCACGGCAGCCGCGGCTTCCAGCTGCAGCACTGCCACGTGGGCGCCGTGCAGGAGGGCGCGCTGCATGTCAGCATGGCCACCGACGACGAGTTCGTGAAGGTCGGTGCTCCCGGGGGTCCCGGGCGCACATGTGGCGGTCAGTGTCACACGGCATCAAGTGGGAACACCAGATGGTGTGTTTGGAGTTGTTATGCTCACATCAATCGACCTATGCGTGGAGGGTTGGTAAAACAACGTTGTCAAGCAAATATTGGTTATATCTTCAAAACTCAAACTACGATCGAAGATCTTTGACAATATATACCACGTTTGATTGATAACGTCGTTTTGCCAGCACAGCCTGATACAGTGTGGATTGATAATCATCAGCAAAAGAATTTCCAACTAATAATGCCAAAAAGCGAGGAGCTCACTGTCTTTCTTCCTTACAACACGTCAGCAGAGGATGTCTGCGCGCACGCAGCGGTTCAGCAATAGCCCGTGCTCCCTGTTCTAGTCCAGTTCACCCTGACCAGTTGACAAAGGGACACAAAACAAACGCAGCACTCTATCTAACGCTCGCGGCCGCCGCTAGATGTCACGTCTGATGCCCGCCCTGCCACCAGACGTCCCGTCTCGCGCCCGCCGCCGCGCCCGTCACTACAGCTGCCCAACGCACGCTCGCGCCGTCAAACCCGGCCCCAGACATGCCGTCCGGCGCAGTGGCGCCCACCCCCTCCCCTCCAGTCCGCCTGACGCCCGGTCGCGCCGCCAGGTGGCGTCCTCCACCGTGGACGAGATCGGCCACAGCGGGCTGACCGTCCGCGGCTCCGGCTCCTTCCTCGTCAACGACACCACGTTCGGCCGGCTCAGCACAGACGCGCTGGACGTGGACGTGCGCGGTGCCGTCGACCTGCTGCACACCACTGTGCGCGCCGCCGCCGCCTTCCCGCTGGCGGCCGTCCGCGGCGGCAACGGCACGCGGCTGGCGCACGTCACGTTCGAGCAGGCGGCGCGGCCCGGCCTGCTGGCGCTGCGCGGGCCGACTGGCGCCGAGCGGCTGACGGCGCTGCACTTCCGCTGCGCCGCCGGGACGCCCGACTGGCGACGCGCGCTGGAGGCGCCCGTCGCCGCGCCCGACGGCCAGCAGCGCTACCTGCAGCGCGCGGCAGCGGCGGCCGGCTGTGCAGCCGACGTCGCGGCGCCGACGGCGCAGGAGGCGGCGAGAGCGGAGCCGCAGCGACTGGACCTGGTGCCGCTGGTGGCGGTGGCGGCTGCGGCGACGGTGGTCGGGTTTGTGGCGGGGGCGGCGGTGGGGGTGGCGCTGCAGCGCCGGTGCACCCGCCGCCGGGGCCGGTACGACACGTTTCCCCTCATGCGCGTCGAAGGCGCGCACTGAGACCGCGAGGACTCCTGCGCGGCGTGCGTCACGCCTGCCCGCTGGGTCGCACACAGGGAGCGCGGCTTTCACCGCGGTTATGAGAAGTGTTTAGCGCAGCGTGCCGCTAACGGGATACGGAATTGTCCGGGATTGGCGGGATCAGCCGCCTGTGCCGGCAACTCTCAAGCCATGAGGGTCGCCATTTCACGACGGGTGCCGTGAGAGCGCCGGTGACACGCGCCGCGTGCGTGATTTCAGTCGGGAGCTCGCGTGTGACGAGTCCGGTGATCTGGCGAGCACCCCTCGTACGCTGGGTGTTTTAGGGCGTCGTACAGTTCACTGAGATCATTTGTCACAGAACAGTTGCCCTTGAAAATGGTGTGCGGGTGGCGAAAGCCGGGCTGCAGATGGAGAGCGAGGCGTTTATCTGCACACTCCGCCACACTGTGTAATATTGCCATGATATTCAGCGGGAATGACGAAGGTGTAATAAGGATATTAAGAAGCCGGGTCCGCTGACACGATACATGTGTCTCGTGTGTGTCTCATTCACTCTCGCAGGTTTTCTCCTGAGATCTTGAGCAAAGTGCATACAGAGCTTTCTCCCCGTGCACGTGTACCAACGTGAGCCATTTCGCGGTTTCGCTTTCGTGATCTGCCTTAATTGCGAGCTTGTCTCAATACAACAGAGAAACACCAAACAAGCACATTGTTTCTGGTCGGCATGACATGATACACGTTACACCTAGTTCATCACGCGATATCGTCAGTGCTACCTCGGGACCACAGACCGTCCCCTAACCTGACCTGACCCGGGCACTCACCAGGCCACCAGCGGTGACGGGCAGCCGTCCCCAGACCTGGCCTGGCCCGGTAACTCACCAGGCCACCAGCGGTGACGGGCAGCCGTCCCCAGACCTGAACTGGCCCGGAAACTCACCAGGCCATCAGCGGTGACGGGCAGCCGTCCCCAGACCTGGCCTGACCTGGACACTCACCAGACCACCAGCGGTGACGGGAAAACCGTCCCCAGACCTGACCTGACCCGGACACTGACCAGGCCACCAGCGGTGACGGGATGGCCATTCCCCGACCTGACCTGACCTGGACACTCACTAGATCACCAGCATTGAAGAGAAAGCCGTCACCAGACCTGACCTGGCCCGGAAACTCACCAGGTCGTCAGCGGTAACGGGACGGCCATTCCCCGACCTGACCTGACGCGGATGCTGACCAGGTCACCGGTAGTGACGAGAAAGCCGTCCCCTAACCTGGCCTGACCCGGACACTCACCAGGTCGTCGGCGGTGACGGGATGGCCGGCGCGGTCGGACGCCACCACGCAGCGGCCCAGTCGGTCACGCATGTCTCGCAGGCTGGTGGTCAGCGCCAGCACGGCCATCACCTCGCTGGCCACGGTGATGTCGAACTGGCAGACGCGAGTGCGCCCTTTCTCCGTGTCCGACTGGCCGACGGTGATGCGGCGCAGGAACCGGTCGTTGGTGTCGATCACTGCCGAGGAGGAGCGGTCGCAGTGACCAGGAAGTGATCCGGCAGTGACCCGGCAGTGACCCGGCAGTGACCCGGCAGCGACCCGGCAGTGATCCCGCAGTGATCTGGCAGTAATCCGGTAGTGACCCGGCAGTGACCCGGCAGTGACCCGGCAGTGACCCGGCAGCGACCCGGCAGTGATCCGGCAGTGACCCGGCAGTGATCTGACAGTGACCCGGCAGTGACCCGGCAGCGACCCAGCAGGGGTTAGCGGCAGGTCAGTGCGCCGGGAGACCGCGAACGGGCTGCAAGCGCCAGCCGCTTTGTGGAAACGGCGTCGGCGCTTTGGCTTTGTCGCCTGTTCACAGACGGCGAGGCGCAGCGCTGCTTCAGCATGGCAGTAAATTTTGGCCCAAGACGTTCACTGTATGGTACATGACAACGGCCGTCAAAGAACGTCATCGCGCATCACATCGTTTGACCTAATGACTCCATCGCAGCGGAGCACGCGCTGGGGGTGGCAGGTCATGGCCACGCGGGACAGACCCTCTCACCGGGGAGGCTGCGGCGGCGGCCCCGGCTGGCGGGCTCCCAGCCGAGCCAGACCGCCCGCCACCCACCTCTCTGCCAGGTGATGGTCTCCGGGTCGATGTCAAGCCGGACGAAGCGGCGCACCTCCTCCTCGGTCAGCGCGTCCGGCTCTGTCTTCTCGATGCCGAGGCGCCGCAGCCGGCCCAGCTGGATGGGCGAGAAGGCGCGCGCGCCGTTGCGCGCCGGCACAAGCCGCCCGAACAGCGCCGCGTCCGTCTGCGTCGACTCGTGGAACATGCGCGCCTCAAGCTGCGCCGCCAGCAGGTTGTTGGCCGCCGTGATGGCGTGGATGTCGCCCGTCATGTGCAGGTTGAACTCCTCCATCGGGATCACCTGCGAGTAGCCGCCGCCGGCAGCGCCGCCTGTCGGCAGCGGTCAGGACTGTCGGCCGACGCGGGGTCTGCGTGCGCGTCACAGTGACTCTTTCCCGCCATGTCTGTCAAATACGAGATCCTGTCTGTCAAATACGCCATCCCGTCCTGCATATGCAAGCAGGAGCGTATCCGCTTCTGGCTCCAAGCCGTCGAAATTGGCCGGTGCTTCTTTTTTTAAAGACGTCCAATTTTGACAAATGAAGCTGCTTGGAACGTGCCCAAGCTGCTGAGAACAGTTTGGGAGACAACCAGACGAGTGCACATAGCTGGCGAAGCCCACGTACAAACTCAGGATGCATCTCCCTCGAAGCCCCACGCGCGTGCGCACTACGCAGAGCCGCCCACATTCACAACGCACGCTGCATTCTTCTGGGCAGACACTCTGAGGAAGTCGGAGACGCCGCTAGTCCGCGTCCCTGTCCCACACAGCACCATCCCGTCCCGTCAGCGTCCCCCTCCCACACGGCACCATCCCGTCCCGTCAGCGTCCCTGTCCCACACGGCACCATCACGTCCCGTCAGTGTCCCTGTCCCACACGGCACCATCACGTCCCGTCAGCGTCCCTGTCCCACACGGCACCATCACGTCCCGTCAGCGTCCCTGTCCCACACGGCACCATCACGTCCCGTCAGTGTCCCTGTCCCACACGGCACCATCCCGTCCCGTCACCGTCGCCCCCACGCCCAGTCACCTTTGATGCCGAACGTGGGTCCCTGCGAAGGCTGACGCACGCACGCGAACACGTTGCGGCCCAGCTCGGCGCCCAGCGCCTGCGACAGCCCGATGGTGGTCGTGCTCTTCCCTTCGCCAAGCGGAGTCGGCGTGATACTGCAAGTTCAGCCGGCAGTCATTAGATGGCTCTGCTCCATCTTCCGTCACAGCTATTTCCAGCAGCAAGGCCATTTGCCCCAGATGCAGTCGGATTCCCGGGCTCTTGCAAGGCCTCTTGCTAGACACTATCATGGACGCGGATCTAGGATCGCATGAAAACGCCGAACACATACGTGCCTAAGCTAGAGGTCACACGAAAAAAACGCGATGTCCGCTCTTTCTGCCCGGATGAGAGGCAGGTAACACCGCATGGCCTTAGCTGCAGCAGAGTACGTCATAAAGCACCAATGACAACACAAAAAAACAACAGTGGAATGGATTGTACCACAAAATGTTCGACATCAAACGGAAACGGAAGACTAAGTGGAGAGGACAAGGAGGCCACTTCAACGACAGGTTGAGCCGACGGTTCACCGTCGCGGCAGCCGTACCCACGACATCTCCGCATGACGATGTATTTTTCACAAGGTCTACCTGGTGTGGTGACTTTTCACTTAGGCACATCATGTTAAACAAGATAGGCAGCATTCGATCCGCCACAGCCCTGCCCACCGTCTCAAAAAGCCCCGCCCACCGTCTCTCCAAGCCCCGCCCGATCCGCCACAACCCTGCCCAACATCTCTTCAAGCCCCGCCCGATCCGTCACAACCCTGCCCACCGTCTCTCCGAGCCCCGCCAAATCCGTCACAGCCCCGCCCAACGTCTCTCCAAGCCCTGCCCGACCCGTCACAACCCTGCCCACCGTCTCTCCAAGCCCCGCCCGCGCCGCCAGAACCCTGTCCAACGTCTCTCTAACCCCGCCCGCGCCGCCACAACCCTGCCCAACGTCTCTCCAATTCCGCCCGAGCCGCCACAACCCTGCCCACCGTATCTCCAACCCCGCCCGAGCCGCCACAACCCTGCCCACCGTCTCTCCAAGCCCCGCCCGATCCGTCACAACCCTGCCCAAGGTTTCTCCAACCCCGCCCGAGCCGCCACAACCCCGTCCAACGTCTCTCCAACCCCGCCCGAGCCGCCACAACCCTGCCCAGGGTCTCTCCAACCCCGCCCGAGCCGCCACAACCTTGTCCACCGTCTCTCCAAGCCCCGCCCGAGCCGCTACCTACCCGCCGACCACCACGTATCGTCCGTTGGCACGGTGCTGCAGCCGGTTCAGCACCGAGAGCGCCACCTTGGCCTTGGTCTGACCGAACAGGTCGAGCTCGGAGCGCAGCAGGCCGACGGCGGCGCCCAGCTCCGAAATGGGCCGCGGGGTCTGCGCCCGACTCACATCAATGTCACTGCGGGAGGGGGGACACAGGTCAGACAGGTCATACGCCGGGCCGGGGGAGGCGCGTGCCGCCTGGTGGCCGGCACACAGCTTTTAAACTGTACAGCTCCCTCTGACAAGATTAATGATAAAAAGACAAGCTGCACTTGCTTCACTTCCTCCACTGACAACACGGCCACCCAAAGATTCACGGACTTAAACAGCTTGGTTCTTCCATTGATATTGACCAACATGTCCATCGATACACTATTGATGAGCTGAACCATTGTGCAACCGAGCCATGAGTCAATTACTTTGTTGTTACATCCCTTGACTGCCTGCCTGCTCAGCCTACTGTTCACCAGTACACGCACGTGGTCTCCTCACTCGGTACCCCCTCCCCACCAGCTAGTCCGCTCACCTGGGCACGGGCGAGAGCGGTGTCAGTGTCAGCGGCTCGAGGCCCCAGGACTGCCGGTGCTCGCGCTCCACGGCCAGCGCGGCCGCGCGCACCGTGTTCTGCATCAGCATCGCCACCTGGCGGGGGGTCGTCACGGTCACCACTCGGACCCGCGCGCGCGGCCTGGCCCGCCCGGACTGTGACGGGCCCTGCAGTGACCACAACAGGTTCGTTCCGGACCCGCCACGGGGTGCCAGTGACTGGAGCCGGCTCTGACCCGCCCCATGGCGACAGTGACTGGGTTCGGCTCTGACCCGCCCCAGGGCGACAGTGACTGGGTTCGGCTCGGACCCGCCCCAGGGCGACAGTGACTGGGTTCGGCTCGGACCCGCCCCAGGGCGACAGCGACTGGGTTCGGCTCGGACCCGCCCCATGGCGACAGTGACAGGGATCGGTTCGGACCCGCCCCAGGGCGACAGTGACTGGGTTCGGCTCGGACCCGCCCCAGGGCGACAGTGACTGGGTTCGGCTCGGACCCGCCCCAGGGCGACAGCGACTGGGTTCGGCTCGGACCCGCCCCATGGCGACAGTGACAGGGATCGGTTCGGACCCGCCCCAGGGCGACAGTGACTGGGTTCGGCTCGGACCCGCCCCACGGCGACAGTGACAGGGATCGGCTCGGACCCACCCCAGGGCGACAGTGACTGGGTTCGGTTCGGACCCGCCCCACGGCGACAGTGACAGGGATCGGCTCGGACCCGCCCCAGGGCGACAGTGACTGGGTTTGGCCCGAACCCGCCCCAGGGCGACAGTGACTGGGTTTGGCCCGAACCCGCCCCAGGGCGACAGTGACTGGGATCGGCTCGGACCCGCCCCACGGCGACAGTGACAGGGATCGGTTCGGACCCGCCCCAGGGCGACAGTGACTGGGTTTGGCCCGAACCCGCCCCAGGGCGACAGTGACTGGGACCCGACCCAGGACCCAGTCTGGCCCGGACCCGCCCCAGAGTGCAAGCGACTGGGGTCGGCTATGGCCCGCCCAGGGCGAGAGTGACTGGAGCCGGCTCGAACCCGCCCGAACCGGCACAGGTTACCACATCGACCGCGGCAGCGTGCGGCGCGAGCCACCCGGCTGCAGTGGCTGACGGCCGGTCACGGCACCACTTCGCCACAGCCAGCCCACTGGGAAGACGAGCCACGTCCGGGCTCGACGCTCCATGTAAATACAGGGCAGCCCACACGGGGAGCAGCCTCCTCGCACTCCCTCGCCCCCGGGCCAGCCTCCAACGCTGCTCAGATGGCGACACAGACCGGCGAGGCGGCTCAGGCAATAGAGACGGTCTGAGTGCGATAAAGACGGCCTGAGCGCAGTAAAGACGGCCTGAGCGCAATAAAGACAGCTTGAACACGATAAAGACGGCCTGAGCGCGATAGAGACGGGCTGAGTGCGACAAAGACAGCCTGAGCGCGATAAAGACGAACTGAGAGCGACAGGATGGCCGGATGTGACGTTGGCGTGACGTACCGTCATCGGCCCGACGCCGCCCGGCACCGGTGTGATGTGTGAGGCCACCTTGGACACCTCCTCCGTGTCGACGTCGCCCAGCAGCCGGTGGCCCGACTTCTTGGTGGCGTCTGCGAACGGCGGACAGGTGACGTCATCCTCTGGCGGCGGCGACGACGGGAGGCGAGCCAGGCGGGCACGCTTGCGGCCAGGGACGGCAGTGAACGATGCGTGCAGACATCCTCGTGCATGCGACACAGGCGAACAGCACGACCAGCAGTCATGAAAGAAACCATTCACAAAAAGGTGAGCAAAAACAAAACCAAAAACAAAAATGAAAGAAAACTTATCGGGCTCTATTACACGTTGAGTTTGACGTTTTCGACTGGAGAGGCGTCTGATAAGTCCCGTGTTTCTCGTTCACTGCTGTTGTTTCATTTCTTCAAAACCGCACACCAAACATTGACGGCAATATGTTGACAGCATGACATTTCAGGCGCTGTGAGCAAAACCACTGGCAGAACGCTGCAGGACATTTCACGTTGCCCCAAAATTTCCGACCCACCCAGGAATGTGACGCCCAAAACACAAGTCGTCAGTAAAGACGCATCAAAATATCCTGATGGGTGCAATTTGGCAATTTATCGCTACTGTAACTGGAGACAGGACAGCTTAGTCACCATTCTGCGCACAACTTGCTCTGGCTCGCGCCGCGCACTGAGATCCGTGGCGCGACGTCCAGCGACGGCGCCAGAGTGCCAACGACACACACGCCACTGCGCGTCGGCCGACAATAACTTTGTCTCATTTACGCAGGCGCCAAAAAGGTCGGACGATACGTCAAGTTCGACGCCAGTAAGCATAAACACGGACCGAGCCTAGACGGCGTCTAGCGCGACGCCTCGCTCGAGCGCGATCACGCGGGTGGGGAGCAGGCGACCATGAAAGGAAGAGACATCGGCTGGCACGACATGAGTCGCGTCACTGTTGATGCCCCGCTGACGGGTTAGAAGTCACATGCTGCACGCTTCCATCAAACGCGCACAACTCAACCCACCTGACATTCACCAGCATCACTGCGACATGGACCCTGGAGCACGCCAAGGGCCAACGCCAGCGCCCGAGACGCGCCGCCGCTTCAACCACACACATACACGCGCACACGCACACACTGACCGCACTGAACCCGCGCCGGCCCCGGTCCCGGCAGTCACCCCGACCACAGCGTGCACACCCCAGTCCGCGCCTTCGCCTCATCACACAGCTGAGGCGAGCACTCGCCTGGAATAGCGTTGATGCCGCAGTCGATGACGACGGCGCCCGGCTTGACCCAGTCGCCCTTGACGAAGTGCGGCCTGCCGATGCCCACCACCAGAATGTCGGCCCGCCGCACCTGCCGCGCGGCTGGGCGTCAGGCTGAGCGCGCGCCCACCCGCTTGGCGTGTGTCAGGCCAAGTCATTCCACAATAACGCAGCGATTATGAGCGTACAGTGAGCACGCGCACAGAGCGTCGTCGCTGACAACACGTCACGCCTTGTTTTTCGGCGACCCTGATCAACGGAATGGTTGCAGACACTGGGCGAACGGAGTCTGGCAACACGGTACAACGGGTCCCGCAGCACCCCGCCGGGTACGGCCGGGCGGGGGGGGGGGGGAGGGGAGCTCGACACTGGACGTCAGCCGTGGTCGGGGAGCTCCCGCGTGCCTGCCGGCGCCTCCCCGACTCGGGAGGAGATCCCGCAGCCGCCTCACGTGTTCCTCGATGTCCTTGGTGCGCGAGTGACAGGTGGAGACGGTGGCGTGGTGCCACTTGAGCAGCTCGGCCATCGGCGAGCCGACGATCTTGCTGCGGCCCAGCACCACCGCGTCAGCGCCCTTGATCTCGACGCCGCTCCTGCCGGACGACCGGGGGGGGGGGGGGGGGGCGTCACAGCCGGGCTCTCGCACCTAGCCGGTCTAAGGCACAGCGAGTCACGGCAGCACGGCCGCGCGGGACCAACACTCGGAGTCACGGCCGGACGACGTCGACTCCACAGGACGCCAAGTCAGGGCCGGGCACTCGGAGTTCGCGGGACCGCCGCTCGGAGTCAGAGTTTGGCGGCTCCTAATCCATTCGGCCGAGAAGAGCGGCGGCAGTGTGACGACTACGCATTGGTCAGGATCGGGGAGGGGCGACCACCTGCCGGCGTGCAGAACAGCCACCAACACACCAGCACCTCAGCATGCGGTGCTGAACGCTGCCGCGCGCATGCGGAGGCGGGACTCGAGAGCGTGTTTGAGGCAGGAATCAGACCCAGACACCTGGAGCCGGCAGCGGCGCGCCCCAGCCGCCCACCTCTGGATCAGCTGAATGCAGCCCCAGGGCGTACAGGGCAGGTGGCCGTGCCGCATCTGGCCGTGCGACAGGCAGCCGGCGTTGATCGGGTGCAGCCTGTCGGCGGCCAGACGATGGCCCGCGTCAGCGCAGCCCCCACGAGTCACAGCAGGCGACGACAAGCTGAAAAACTTCACAACCGCCGCGTAGCGCGCGCAGCATTTGATTCTGTATTTTCGTACCCAGCCGACAGCTGTGCAGCACGACGCTGAACAAATGTCAATGTAACGGTCCGCTGAGTTGTGATGGTCTTTTGCCAGTTTTTTTTTTTTGTCCCAGTACATCCTACTTCAGTTGCAGTGATATGAAAGCCGATCGAGTGCAAGGCCATCAGCAGTCTCACTCCCCGCTCTGTTGTGAGCGTGGAGCCTTATGTTTCAGCGCCCTCTTTTCATCTACAATGTCGTCAGCATTCTCTGGGACATCATGTGACCTACGACATTCCTTAGCGCCCCGCAAGATGTGACATACCACAGCACCCTTACCGTGACCTGTGGCGTCCTCAGGTAATCCTTCCGTGACCCGAAATGTGATCCGTTATATCAAAGTGTTCCGTGACCTCCCGCGACCTGTGACATCCTCCCGCGCTCTCATGTGACCTGTCATACTCTCCAGCGCTGTCCCGCGACATTTCGTGGCCTGCCATATTCTCCATCACTTTCCCGTCACATGTCATATTTTTAAGCACTCTTCAGTCAACTCCTGAGACCTGCTATATTCTCCAGGCCTATAGTGTAACCTGCCATGACCTGGCATATTATCCGGCGCTGACCTGTGACCTCTCGTGACCTGTAACCCCAGCACAGTCCCGCGCCGCACCGACGCCGGCGCGCTCACCCATCGACGTCCTTGTCGGGGTCAATGGCCTCGATGACCTTGTCCTCGTCGATGGTGTGCTCAGAGTCCAGCGGCAGCTGCACGATCATGCCATGCACGGTCGGGTCCTCGTTCAGTCCCTGGATGGTCTGCAGCAGCTGACGGCGGCACGGATACCGCGGTCGGGCGACGACAGAAGACGGGCACGAGCGCAACACAACACCCATGACGACCACCGGTGGGGGGGGGGGGGGGGGCGTGACATCGGACGCCGCCAACTAGGCGCGTGAAGACTGAGGGTCGACACGAGTTCGGACATGTGGAGGATGCGTATGGTTTCCCCCCTCGAGTCTGCCACCCTGTTATCAGACATGACCTGTGGCCTGATAGCCCTGCTGTCGGACCTAAACTGACCTCACCCGCCAACAGGCCTTCTGTATGCTGCGTTATCACACCGTACCTGTTGGATGTTTGAGATTGGATATTGGATACTGGAGCGCTGGCAGCAGCTCGGTGCCGGGAGCTCGTCGGCTGGTGACATACCTGCATCTGGGTGGTGTGGCGCGGCAGCTGGACGTGCCGGGCGCCGATGCCGATGTCGCTGGCCGCCTTCACCTTGGCCCTGATGTAGACGTTGGAGTCCTCACGGCCGCCCACCTGCACGATGGCCAGGCCGGGCTGGAAGCCGGGATACTTCGTCTGCAGCTGGCGCACCTCGTCCTGCAGGCCGGTCCGCACCTCCCTGGCCGCGCGGTGGGCCACGTCAGGTCAGGTCGGGTCACGTATGTCGGTAGTTATCGCCACACAAACCCACTCCCAAACACGCCAGGTAGCCGAGCTGCGCTATGGGGTCAGTATCCAAAGGGCCGTCACGTCACCAGAGGTCAGGCTCGGTTAAACCAGTCGGCGTTCACCAGCACACAGCCATCAGAAGTCAGGCAACCGGGGGAAAGGTCGACCTCGGGCGTCGCCAGAACAGCAGCCACGCCGCGCGACACCGACGGACAGTCAGCATAAAAAACACTGCAGGCAGCCAACTTCAGGCCGGGTCAACGAGAAGTGTTGACCAGTCTCCACCGTCAATCAGAGCTGTCAGAAACCGGGCCAAGGGGGAGGGGGGGGGGGGGGGCAATAGAAATCCAACGCCACCTGGAGCCATCAGAAGTCCATCTATATATCACTGGGCAGAAAATTCCATAATCGCAACCGAAAAAGTTGTGCCGAGGATCATGTCACCACCCTTCCCGCAATGTCCGCAACTTAAAAAAACGAACAACATCGAGACTGGCTATTCCCGCCCACCTAGACACCTAGAGCACCAGCGTACAACACCTAGAGCGCCAGGGTAACAACTCGACCACAAACCACAAACCAAAACTCGGCCTGCCACACCTCGGACAGGCGCCTGCGCTACACCTCGGACAGATGCGTGCACCACATCTCGGACACGTGCGTGCACCACACCTCGGACAGGTGCCTGCACCACACCTCCAGCCAGCGGCCCGGCAGTCACGGCCGTGTCTGGGGCATCGCGCGCGGCCGGCGGCTCGCGCCGGCCGCCACTCACTTGGCCAGCTCGGTGCCGGACAGCCGGACAGCCTGGTGCTGCGCGTCGCCGGATGCCATGCTCGATCCTGCGGCGGAGACGGAGCGGTACTGGAGGAGCACGCGCCGCGGCAGCCCGCACCCCGGTCTGGACGGCCACGCGGCGCGCACCAGAGACGCGGCCAGGCGACGGCCGAGAGCCATAGACATACAAGCGACCCCAAACCCACACGTAAACAGGCGAGACACTGGGCGGCCTGGCGGCGGCCGCCGGGTGGGCGGTGGCTGGAAGGGGAGCCCGTCCAGCGCCCACTCGCCAATGTAAATAAACAGCCACAGCCAGGCCGGGGGCACTGGACACGTGGCTCCCATGACCCCTGCAGCGGTGCTGCCCCCCCCCCCCCCCACCCCGGCTCGCTTGAATTGCTGGGAAGTGGAAGATTGAAAATATGCCGCGGAGATGGAATACATACGTCGTTAATCCTTTCGTAGGGCGTCGGTGACACTGCCTGTGATGGCGACGGTCATGTTAGTGTGCAACAGCACTCCAAAATTTATTCAGTGTGGTGTGTAAGATGTAAACAGAGCCTCACGCGATCAGTCTTCGGGCTCCCTGGCCGCCTCCATGTGCATGTTTCGATGGCTGCTACTTTGCTGTCCTTTGACCCCCAACCCTGACATCTGACTGCCCCAGCAAGGCAGGGCAGCAAACAGTGAACTCTGAACCTGGGTTGTGACAGCATGAAAACTATTGACACTCTGACCACTTGAGTCATCAATATTGTGGCACTGGTACTCCAGGGCTATTGGATAACTCTAATTTAAAGCATGTTGCCCTGTGTGAGACCCAGGGCCCCTAACCAGCTAATGATTATGTTGCAAACTTTGTCATGAGGTTATCTGCAAATACATAATATAAACACTGTCAATACCATAAGGGTTGTTTGGCTCATTTCAGTCCAGCCAACAACCTTGGCTGGATGGGGTTAATGACCTTGTTTTGATGTCCAAGCGAGGTCAGTGCGTTAGTATGAACTTCAACTACTATCAACAGGTTGTATTATTAATCTGCACTAAATCTCATTCACACAAAAATTATGCATCTGCTTCACTCTTAAAATCAATTAAATTTTAGTCCTGTCATTTGCCCACAACCATAAATGTTGGCCTGGCCTAAATCATCAAAGGCTGAGTTATAGAAGTCAAATCAAATATAATGGATAGCCTGCAATATCTAGATGCCCAATATGTATTTCTGACCTTTGCTCAGCATTGCCAAATGGTAATTGAATGCATTCATCTGACAACCTACCTGGCTGGTGGAAAACTTGAAATTACATGGTCACGGCATTGCTGCGATCATACAAGCTTTAAATCCTACAGATGATTAAGGCTTTACATGGCTTAAATAACTCAAATAAATCAAATGGGTCACAAATGACATAAGAGTGTGGATCACAACTGAGGTAAAAATGTGGCTACAAATTATGAACTTGTCTTTACTCCTGTGGAAAATGACTAATTTTGTGAAATTCTACCTGGAAGGCTAACCTGGCACCAGCTCAATGTAAAAAAATCATTTCAGGGAATGTTTTGATCAATGCTAAATGTGGCTGTTCAAAATACATGTACTGGTTTGCATCAGTAGCACTATTTGCTGAATTTCCAAAATTGCATTGAATTACATGAAACAAACATTCATTCCATAACTCAAAATCATAACTATACTTGCTTGATGAGCCAATAAATGACTAAAGGTGTAATCAGGTTTAACAGTCAATACTTTCATGTTCACTCCTTTTGCATTCCTTCATAACTATATGATCATCACACATGCACACATGCACACACACAAAATTGTGCACATATACATGCATAAATATATACATACATGTATATATATATATATATATATATATATATATATATATATATATATATATATATATATATATATATATATATATTATATACGGGGTTGCACATGCACACGTCATTCTGTGCACCGAAAACTGCAAGACACATGAAGACAAAAGCTACCCGGCCCTAGCTGGTGTCATACCTAACCACGGCACTCAACAATCCTAGGCACGGCATCAGCCGAAGCCGACAGCGCTTTGAATGGAAGCAAGATTAGGCACACCATTAAGATACATGAGTACATTTAGCAAAATATATTACGTGCCGGCTCGGCGCCAGGTCACAACAAATTACCGATTGGGCACCCTCCCCACGTGTCAGCAACCTTCTCCACGCAACAACAGTGCAGACAGCTCAAGGTCAACTGGTCAGACGGTATCGAGGGGCCGTATCTGTTGTATCTCAACGGGCGACACTAGCGCCGTCTACCTCACCAGACATGAAACGCAAGCCTTACTGGCGGCAGTAGTGTCCTCTATTTTACTCCACCTATGATGCAGGCGGCGCTACCATCAATGCTTAGCTTCTCCAGCTGAGCTCAGCTGGTGTGCTTGTCTTAAGCAAGAAAATTGTTGAGCTCCTGGGCTTGGCCCTTATGATAGCTTGTGCTGAGAATAACCGCTTTTTGTTTTCCAGGTTATGACTATCAACGCTTCCAGGCAACGTGCAAGGTCACGAGTGGTTGGTATCACATGATTTGCATTCGCTTGCCCATCTCACCCTACTGATCGTTGAGTGGCACCACAAAGATTCACTGGGTCACTGTTTCACAAATCATTGTGGGCATCACGATATCTTTTCATGACCCTGCGCTTCCATGCATCTGTTTGTCACTTTCCTTGCATTGTTGGCTCGTGTAGCGACCAGCAGACACCTGGCGGTCACGAAGAAGCGCGCGCAGAAGGTCATCGGTGGTCGTGACCTGGTGCAGTGACTGAGTATCGCCAAATGGTGTCATCTGAGTGAAAGAACTTAGTCTGTGCCCGCAGTGGATAGCAGATGTTGCAGCATCTCAGTTAGCTCGAACTATGTTGCGATAATTCAAGCGACAATGAACTCAGGATACTCCCTGCTAAGGAGGCAATTTACGCCTGTCGAATGGGAAAATTGCATGACGTAAGGTCAAAGGGCAAAGTATTATGCAGAGGCATGCAATGTGCATGGTTGCACCTGCCTCGGGGAGGATACAAAGTGCTTTTATTCTGAGGCTCGTTTCCGAATAAGCTTCACCGCAGCTCAAATGGTGACGCAGCACCGCATGACGCTGACGCCACGCTGCGACAGGCAGCACCATACTGCCCGTTTCAACCAATCAAAATACTTGCGCACCTCTTGTTCATAAAGTATCATCACTGCGGACGACTCGTTGGCGATTTTTACTTGAATAACCTGAGATGTTAAGAAACAAAACCTTTTGTTACGTTTATGACATTACGCCCACGCCAACTTGAAATGTATGTGTTTGCTGGAGCATCTCTCACTGACCCATAGTTTCAACTATTGTGAATTTAATGTTTCACTTCCACACCGTCTTTTTGCGACGGATTTTTTACTCTCACCTTAGTTCAAAAGCGATCCTAGCTCACTGTAGTTTTATGATATTATACGAATATATGGCGCACGAATGAAACTTTAATTTGTGAACCGTCTAGATCGTCTTACCAGGCAGATCTCGAAGTGAGTCCCATTGCACGCAGCGGATTTCTCTGTCTCGGTCACGATTTGTACTCGAGGATGGATCAAAGGTTGCATTTGCGGTATATAAAGGTTATAATTCATAAAAGCTGTGACCGTTGCAACAGCCTATCGTGTACAGCACATATTGAGCCACAGCTTGTTAACACGCGCTCGGGTGGCTGTCAGTTGGAACTCTCTACGTTTTTTTGTTTACAGAAAGCTCCCGGCAGGTGTGTTGGCGCCACATCAAACTTTTAAAGCCGTAAGCAATTGAGGAGTGAATGTCTTTGCATAAAAGATTGCATCTCATAACGTCCGTGACCGTCAGTGACCGGCAGGCCAAAGTCAAGCCATAGCTGCCAGCGAGAGGAATTTCAAAGGGAACCTTTCAAGCTGATCGGACATGGGAGTGATAGACGAGGTCTTGCAGCTTTGAGATGTATTTTTAGACAAATGGACGAATGATATTATGATTACGACAAATGCAATCGACCTTTGGTTAAACATAAAGATTGAACCATTGTAAAAACTAACTGCATTTTACCGGAAAACTTACTATATTGGAAGTTTTTGAACTTCAGTTCGATTTCCTTGATAGTTAATCAACATTTTCTCATTACGACTTCATGGAGGTCATTGGAGGTCACTGATATCAAGGGACATCAGTAAACCACTTACTTTGAGCAACATGCTTCCTAGCGCAGCTTTTGAAGCTCACTGGCATTTAAATGTCGAAATACCCTCGAAGGGCTTTCGTCATTCCGACGCTCTTAAAGTCACACAAGGTAACAGACCTGATATGATCACGAGCGACCTTTTACTAGGACAGGTCAACACGGTTTAAGTTGGTCACATGAGAGCCTGACGACACGGCTCAAGCTCTTGAACCGCGCTGTCAGGTCACGCTTGAGGATGCTCCAAAACTCATCAAAAGCGAGAGAAAACAAATATGCAGCCACCCTAACGTGCAGACCGTTTAGGGAGCTCCATCCCTTCAACTGATATGATCTCAACGCCATCGCTGGATAACCCAAAACGGCATTAAAAATCGAGATATCAAAAAACCACTACAGAAAATAAAATTCTAATTCGTTGTGACCACGTTCTCATTTGAAGAAGCGTGACAACTTCATTCCACAACCTTGTCGTGTTAGACCGTGCGGCGGACTTCCTTTGAACAACTCAGCGTTTTGTGTCGAAGGCAAGCTTTGACGGCTGCGTCTGGGCAAATTTTCTGACGGCCTGAAACATCAGAGGGCGAAATCTTCCGATCGACGCAACCGCCACAGCTTGAAAGGCATGCAGCGCTTGGTGGAATTCGTTCCTGGTGATATGTGCTGATGATGAAGGGAACGGCAGCCTGGGATGGCCTACAACGCAGCACGGCCCACTCTGATACGATGACGCATGTTTCTGAACTCGTTACAAGTCAGAAAGGCCTGGGCGGGCGTTTATGGTGATTGGATGACCATTATGTGTTGGGCGAATAATTCCCTTGATTTGGCTGTGCGAACGGTGTTTCCGTACTGGTCAAAATGATGTTGCGCAGACGTTGTTCTTCATTCAGGTTTCCTTATGCTCACTTTTATCATGCTACGCAAACATTTGCCTTAGTTCGTCTCAAAGTTG